ATTCTCTATACATACTTCACATCAATGGGACAAATCTACATAGTTTCTTCACACACACTGAAATATCGAATTCAAAATATTTCTCAAAATTTTTTGGCTTCACACATGCCAAAGCTGGACACATGTGAGAAATATAGCATGTGACAAAATGCCCATTTACAATATAACAAAATATAACACTAAATGAGAAAACATAACATAAAATAAACAAATGACACAATTGCAAAAGGGCCCCCACACATAGGGAATGATGTCATGCTGATGTCAGCCCTTAGGTGGTGTGTGGGGCTGCCACGTGGACTCCCTATGGCCACTTGGGGTCCACGTGGTCTCCCCATATGACGTCTATATTTGGAATTAAGTCCAAACAAATTTGAAAATGGCATTTTGTGTTTTAAAAATTCCCAAAAATTATCCAAATGATTTCTCATCATTATTATATCTCTTTACAACAAAGTAAAATAGATGGACCACAGGTAAATGAGATCACTAGGTCTAACACTAGTTATCAGAGTACTCCATTGGGCTCATCCTGAATGATGATCTACAATTGTTTAAAGCTAAATGGACCTATGTTCCACAGTCTATGGCAAAGACACATAATTGACCACATCAAAGTCACTCAGCCATAGCTTTCCATTATCGGCTTCTCAATGGATTACATGTGCACCCCTGTGGGACATACTATTACTCGAATACAGGGGTTCTCTTAAGGCACATGTGCACTGGCTTTCTAAGTCAGATTATACTATAGAAGAGTGGCTTCCTATACAACTATAAGTGCATATGCCATGGAGTGGTCTCGTGTCATAGTACGGACTTATGTCCCATAAGTCATGACCATTCCGTATAGGGTCGATACTTTGAAATTATGCGGGTTCTATTGTACTCATTTGGTTCTGATAGGCCTGGCCAACCATCACAACCATGAGGCATCTTAACCAATATAGCCTTGACTTGGTGGTGACCCTCACACCTCCCCAAGAGATTACTCTCTCAAAAAAAAAACGCACATTAGCTCATGTACTCGGGGTATATTGAATCTGGGCTCCAGTGCGCCAAGCACCCAGATTCAATCTCGTTCTCTCTCTTACTCCTACTAAGCGAAAGACTCTTAGCTATAAGGCCTTGAAAGGCCACACAAACAATACCTGTATCGTGGTGAGCCCTATCGAGCAGTCCCCAACCCCCCTTGAACCATGTAGGACACTATTAATAGTATGCACCTCTACTCTCATGCATAAATCTTTACATGGGCTTGTACACATACAATGAGGATTCAATAAGTGATCTTAATAATGCAAAAGGGGTACTTTTGTTGTGTCCACAAATATTAATTCTAGAGCGTTATGGTTATTCCTAAGTGAATACTACTAGTTCGATACCATTTTTGTGGTTACAAATTTCATATTTTGAGCTTAACTAGATTTAGAGAAACCATGAAAAATTCCCACATCCCATGAAATACTATAGGTTACATTAGAAAGGTGTGTGAACTGTCAAAATTACTTTAGCTGCCATTTTCTTTGTTCCATGGCTACGAAATGAGCTAGCACAATTTTTGTCATTGAAAAGGGTAGTTCTGATATATTCACAAAAAGACAAGGATAATTATGGTGTAAAACTCTAGGCAATTTATTAATATAAAAAACACCCTTTGTCATTTAGTAAGAATAACAACAATTTCCTTCCTTTAACAAAAATACCCTTTACGTAACTAAAGTAACGTTTACAGTTCACACCATTTCTAAATGTAACCTATAGGGTTTCATGGGGCATATATATATATAAATAAGAAAAATCTACAATTGACAACTCTTCAAATTACAAAGGTTAATGTTAAAGTGAGTTGTGAAAGGTGGATTTACTAACCATCTGGTTTCTTTTTTTCAATAAAATTACTTTTTGTGATGTCTTTCTTATCAAGGAAGGGTATTTGTGTATATATCACTAAAAGGCAAGGGGTATTTTTGTTATTTTTATAAGGGTAAAGTTGAAATTTTTACTAAAGGTCAATGATACTCTACAAATAAAGTTCCATGATACTAGCTTCCAAAATACCATTGTTCTTTTGTGAAAGTAATGACTCTTGAAACTAAATTTTTAAACAAAATGTAATGACTTTTGAAAAAATACACCCATCGTAACTCATTCTAAAATTAACATTTGCATTTTGAGGGGTTGTTAACTCTAGAAAAATCCCTTATAAAATCATTAAGGGAGTCAAAACATCAGAGCCTTTACTTTTTAATTTGTGTTTCACACAGGTACCTCCTTTGATATCTTGGGTCGATAATTCATGAAACTGGAGAGACTAAAGAAGATGTAGCTCATAGAATTAGAGCGGGGTAGGTGAAGTGGAGATGTACAATCGAAGATTTTTGTGATCGCTGCATACCGATGAAGTTGAAGGGCAGCTCCTAAAGGACAGCTATGAGACCAGCTTTGCTTCATGGGGCGGAATATTGGGCGGTTAAGAAAGAACATACCCATAAAATGAGTGTAGCTGAGATGAGGATGTTGAGATGAATGAGTGTCAAGACAAGAAGGAATCGAATTCAAAAGGAATACATTCAGGAAAATTTAGGTATGGCACCAATAGACGACAAGATGTGAGAAAGTAGACTTAAGTGAGCTAACCATGTACAATGCAGACCCAATACAACACCTCTTAGTAGGTGTGAGTCAGTTCAAGTGGAAGGCTAAAAAAGGGAAAGGGGTAGGCCCAAAAGAATATTGGTTAGAAGTAGTGAGGAAAAATATGAGGACTTATGGCCTCGCTAAAGGCATGCCCCTTAATAGAGTAGAATGACGGACCGGGATTCGTGTAGCCAACCCCAATTTTATGGGTCCTCAAACAATATTCTTAAAAATGCCCGGAGTGGTCCTATACAAGGTCAAGAACCCTTAACAATGTTAGTTTGAGAAGTGAGAAAATGCTATGAATATTGGCTGTCCATTTAAGAAAAGCGAAAATGGTACTCGGTTGATGCCTTAGGGGAATTTATTCGACACCAAAATTTGTTGATGTCCTCGGCATATCACCAAATGAACAATTTAGGGGGGGAAAAATATTTTGGGTTCTTGAAGATCCAGATCTAAATTGGATGGTCGACATTCACAAAAATTCTCTCTTAAAGAAAACCATTTTCTAATTTATTTTCTTTTGAGATTGTTCGATGGGTTAAAGAAGTGCATTTACAAAAATTTGGGGTCAGAGAAATCTCCCTAGATAGGTGTCTATGGGAGTGTGCAAGTAACCCCTACACACAGACATAATAGGTAAAACAATGATTATCATCATCATCATCCGAGCCTTATCCCAACTATATGACGTTGGCTACATGAATCTTATTCTGCTATTTCGCTCTATCAAGGGCCATACCTTCAGTCAGACTATAAGTCACCATATGTTTTCTTATTACTCGCTATCCTTACGGGCTTTCCCTTTGCCTTTTTAGAGCCTTCCACTTGAACCAAATCACACCTCCTAACCGGTGTTGTTCTATGGCAATGATGCACATGCCCAACCACCTAAGTTTACTTGTTTTCATTTTATTGCATATCGAAGCTACCCCTAAGTTATCTAGAATGTATTCATTCCAAGTTCTATCGTTCCTTATCTTGTCACTCATCCATCTCAATATCCTAATCGCAGCTAGGATCGTTATATGGATATATTGTTTCTCCTCCGCCCAACATTCCATCCCATAAAGCATACCTGGTCTTATAGTTGTTTTATAGAACTTCCCCTTCAATTTCATTGGTATGCAACAATCACAAAATAGACACAACGGTATGACACATACATATCCCTGCCAAATAGCCTTAACTAACACACAATACACATAAAACTAAAGATGCATGACTAGCACATATTAGTACGTGGAAGGCAGGTCTAAATAGACTTAGCCCTCCCATATACCTTATGAGGTGGTGAAAAATGGGTGGGTAAAGACTGTGAAAAAGCAACCCACATAATAGCATCACATCTCTTGGCCACAACCTTGCATGAGATGGTCCTAAAGGGGGATACAGACTTCTATCGTAGTTCCATTCATAGGGGTCAAATGTCATCCTGTAATTTCTTTTTAGTAGGCTTGTAGGAAGGTGTCAAAAGCACCAAGCGTGATATTTTTACTTGTGCGCACTCCCTCTATCTTTTCTCACTAATAATGTAACCTACAATGAGCTTCTTTACAGTTAATTTTCTATAACCTGAGAGAAAGAGGTTGATAGTTTTTCTTAGTTGGACCTTAAAGGAGCATCCCATTTCGTGTACATCACTCTGGTTGGATTCAAGAATTTGAATTGGATTAGAGGAGCTCACATATGGTAGTCCGAATTTCTAATCAGGCAGCTTCGAAAATATTTCTTTTATTTTCTAAATTTTGTAAAAGATTGATCTTAAGATGTCAGATTTTTTGAGGTAAAAGAACAGGATGTTCTTACAAGTAAAAAATTAGAAACATGTAAAACATATACTTATGTTAAAAATACATAATTTACAACACATTGATTCAAAAGGATCAGTCCTTGTGATCCACTCTAAGGCCGATGCTAATTGAAGAGTTTGGATGATTTTGTCCTATGGGAAGAGAATCTCAAATCTGTTCTTTTCATGTTACCAAGAATTTTCTGTGCCGTTTTACTGAGATTCATTTGAGGTACTTTGGTAACCTCTCTCTTCCTCAACACTTAAAATATATAGAGGAGCAAGATATTATTACTCTGTTTAAAATCTATAATTGAATTTCCACAAACGCATCCCTATTATCCATTGATTCCATTCTATCATTTTAGCATATATATCTCATTGAAGCTGAATGCAGTGACCAATGTAACATAAATTTGGATAAACAGTAAAACCAAATTGCAAATACCACCCTAGTTTTTGTTAAATGCTGTAACAGTCCTAAAAATCAAGCTAAGAAATCATACATTCAATATCGAAAATAATACCATGAAATACCACAGGGCATAAAGATTTGATCCCTCACCTGGAACAAATGGGAACTTGCCAGGCAAAAATGGTCGCAACATGCCTTCCTGAATTTTGCAATCAGCTGGATTGAGACTTGCTGCCTCCAACTTGAGTAAGACCTCATCGTTCTTTGGACTGGGGATTAGAATCTCTACATGCTGCAAGGAAAGATAGGGCGAAGTACAGTAACTTGGGATTTGATGATCTTTTTGGCAGTCACAAGCGTTGCAATTCAAAAAGTTAGCCACTTTGATTCCTGTAGCATAGGAATAAATATTTTGGCACATAAATCACCAATAAAGTTAGACTTGAAACCTTTACATGGAATAAGATTGAGTCTTTTGAAAATGGCCTGGGCCTTAACAGTTATATTGCCAAGCCCAGGGATGAGATCTCTAACTCCATTCCTACCAAAAACAGGAACCAAATCCCTTCTGACTTATAGAAAAAGACCTCGGGCTTAAATGGTTAGCGCTTAACGAATACGCTGCAGTTCAATTCCTACCAAGGTAAGGGCATCTCCCCACTGATTAACCCAAAAAAAAAAGAAAACAGAAAAAAAACGATCTTCAAATGCGAACATATCTGATGTAGTAAGAATATATGAATGAAAAGAACCACTTGAATAGGTTAGTGGACTCTGAAACGCCAGGAGACTAGTATTTGTTTGAGGTTCCATTCTGATTTATCATCTTGGTTTCTTTTCATTTGTTTACAACTAGTTGTTGGCCAGTGATTCGTGAAGCAGCAGTGATCGAAAAATCGGCTGAGTAGTTTGTACTCAGTCGTGTAACTCAGGTTCGGGCCCTTGTTGAGCCCGATTGTCCCGAGTTGGGTGTCTAACTCCGGGATATTAAAAAAAAATTAAAAAACATATTTGAAATTCTAAAAAAATAAAATATTTATTTTGGATATATTTTTTTATCATTTTTGACAAAGGTATTTTCTCCATAAATATTTATTTTATATTTTTCCACCTTTTTATAATTATTTTAAAAAAAAAACCCCAATCACAAGTATTTTTTAAAATCTAATTTTGTTATTACTTTTTTAAAGTGTTTTGTTTAATCTTACTTTACACATATATATATATATATATTTCTTATTTTTCAAAACCTTTTTTTGTTGCTACAGTACTCAGCATTAATGGCCACGACCGATTACTTGGCCCGAGTCATACTATGACACTTTCTAAAACTGCGTTTAACAATGAGGTAAGATGATCTCCGTCAATTACTAGAATCTGAGGCTGGACAACAACACAAATTAGCCAATGGAAAGAAGAGTAAATTGCCTGTATATAACAGCAAGATTGAAAAAATTGGCCGCCTGATCGCCTAGGCGGCATGCCTAACAATTTGGCTAGGCAAGAGGCGTTTAGGTAGGCTCAAGGTGCCTGCATTGGCTGGTCTGAGCACCTGCCTACTGCCTGCCACTCCCTTAAAAAGAAAAGAAAAAGGGTGATTAAAAAGCAAAAGAAAAACTTAAGCCCTATCTAAGGTCCTTCTCTCTCTCACACACACATGGGCCATGTACTCTTTCTATAGATTAAGAAGGAATCCAAGTGTTTGATGTCGGGCCTCTCTTTCTCTCTCACATACATAACCCACATGGACCTATATGCTCTCTGTATATGTAAAAAGACGAAAGAAAAAGATGACCGCCAAGTGTTCAATGCGAAACCTCTCTCTCCATACTAGAAGAAGAAAACGAAGAGTGCACTCCAATTGTTCAAAACCTCTCTCACAAAATCTGGTCCATATGCTCTACGTCTCTTACTCTGTATATAATATATAAAAAAATAATAATATTTAAGCATTTCATGGTACGCCTCACATGTGTGCCGCACATGCACACACATAGAACAAAAAAAAAAAAAAAAGAAGGCCGTCCGGTTATCTGGGCACCTGCCTTGCCGGTCGGGCCTGGCTGCCTAGGTGGCCGCCTCCAACATTTTGAGCACTGTGTAACACATAAAGGCATATCAAAGCTACTTACTAGTTAACAGTAGGGTTAAATGAAGGGCAATTTTTGTTGTAAAAATCATAACAATTAAAAGGGAAAGCTCATGTGTACTCTTTACCTGTTAGCAGTAGTAACTTTCTAAAACGAAAATGACTAGTGGCTTTGAAATCACCAATAACTTGCAGTAAATTCTTGGAAACACACTAGACCTCATGTATAAGATATTTTGGAAATAGCAGCTCCAAACGCGTGATTGACTATTAACCAGTGTGACCGAGTCGAATCGAGTCCGTCTCAGCTGAATTTCTCGACCTCGACAGGCTGAGTTTAGCTGTACATATCTGCGAGGTGGTTAACCTGCTGAGCTACTTATATTTAAGCCTTAGGACTCGCATGAGTTACTCGGCTTGTGGTCGGGCCATTCCAAGCATGAGTTGAGTTTTCAAACCTCTCTAATAATCATACACACAATGGTCTGTTTGATTCCATGGAAATCGATATCAAGGAGATCCATCGTGGAGATCTATTTCCACATTTTAAGCTTTATTTTTTTGTGAAAATATCAATTCCACTAAAATAGGTAGACTTGACGTTCCGTGAGATCGAAAAAGAGCCATGTCAAAAAAGAGCCATGGCACCAAAAGCATGTGTTAAGTTATATTTTATAGAGTGGCTTAAGGTCTGCCCAAAAAATGCACCTCAAACCCAAGAGCCATAACAATTGTAATAATTTAATACATATGTATAATGAATAGTCTATGATGATAATTAATATATATTATAGCATATGTAATTAACATATTAATTATATGTAATAATAATATTCTATAGAACTATAGTCGTAATAGTTACATATAAGTAGTTTGTATATTACAATAGATATATAATATTGTAATATATATTTAATCTGTAATAAAAATACATATAATATTAAAAATATATAGTAGATTATCATAATATGAATTTATATATTATTATAAATAGAATTACCTACAAAGAGACCACTTATCTTCTGTACATGGAGGTTACAATCTTTCTCATTCATTATATGTCAAATTGGATGGCTTCGGGTGAGTCATGAAGTTTGATAATTTCCTTTTTGGAATTGTGTCTAAACAGTGACACTTTTAAAACCACCTATTTTGAAATTTACGGGACAAGAATGATCGCTCGATGTATAGAAGAGAAATGGTTTCTTTATAGATAATCCCTATTATAACACCATATGGTGTTATATTATAATATTATAATATATATTAATTAATATAAAAATATATATAATTAACACTAATTACATGTAATAATTATAGAATAATTATAATATTCATATATAGATATAGAAAGGAATTATATATAATGAGACCATTTAGCTTTGGTACAAGGAGGTCACAATTACGTACAACCATCTGATGTGAAATTTGGTTGCTCAGGTGTGTCACAGAGAAAAATTTTCTTTTGAACTTTGAGCTTGGTCAATGAAATAAATACAACCATCTAATTTTACATCAAATGATCAAGATTAATTATGACCACCTTGCACTAAAGGTAAATGGTCTCATCATATAATTTCCCATATAAAAATTATATTTTATGCTTAGAACGGGAATATCGACAAAGCTCTGCTTTGCGGTTTGCTCATTTCAATTAAGGCAACATATATTGTATAATTTATGGAAAATACATTTCCAGACAATCCAAAATGTGGACATGCATCTTTCAGGTCTCCTGCATAGATCTTATCAAATCAGCAAACACCTATACTCTAAAAGATGTGAATTCCAAGAGATACTAATCCCAACAGATGCATTGCCGAAGGTTATCCATTTCTGGTGAACCAAACAAGCCTCAGGCCACAAGGCCCCCAGCCTATAGGACACAGTGTAGTCCGGAGACGGCACATGAACGGGAAGAGACCGAGATTGAAGGTGAAGGAGACAATTTGAATAACAAAGAATTGCAGACACACTTTACCTTATATTTAACCAAATTTTGGATGAGACCTCCACATGCACAAAATTAAGAGTTCATCAAAACCCTACTTAGTCAGAAAAGAATCGATTAATTTGGTGCCCATCGTTCTCTTTGAATATGGACCGTCCAGCCTAATCTGTGATTTAGGCGGGCCTGCAATCCAATTAAAATACTTCATCCCTCAAAAGGAAATTTTTTTTTGAATCAACTCTGATATTGATAGTTTGTTGAACCTTCCCAAAAGTTTTAGGGAGATGCCATCTTTTTTTGTCATTCTTTTGCTATTTTTTATCTGCATAAAACTTATATATTTCCCCTATCCCACTTTCTATTTTCAAAGGACGGTTGAGCTGCATACAATCACAATGTCATGTCTCTACAATATTTTATTTTCAATTGCTTTTATACAAAATATTTTGACATCAAATTTTGGACTCCAGTCTTCTCTTAAATTATCACTTGTAAAAAATATAAAAAAAATATTTCCAATAAAATAAAATAACCAAAATACCCCTTGAAAATTTTAGGGGTATTTTGATCATTATATTTTATTGAAAAATTCTTTTTAGTAGTTTTTTAGGTGTACCCATTGAGAAGATGTCACGTATCAACTTTCATATTCATACAATTGTTAAAAAAAAAAAAAAAAAAAAAAAAAAAAAAAAAAAACTAAAAAAATAAAGTCCTCTAGGGTGTCGGATCTAAGATCAAACGACCAGTGACTCACTTGATCTAAATTGGACAACATGATGGGAGGAGCATATATCTTCTATGCTGTAGGGGACGTATAGAAACCTTTCCCTATATAAGATATATTCTTCCCCCCATCCAACCATTCAATTTAGATCAAGTGAGCTACTGACTGTTTGATCTAGATCTAATGCTTCAAAATATTTTATTTTTAGGTTTTTTAACAAATTGTATGAATATTAAATTTGGTACATGCTATCTTATCGATGGGATACACCTAAAAAAATATTAAAAATATTTTTTCAATAACATATAATGGCCAAAAATACCCCTTAAAGTTTTAAGGGGTATTTTGGTAATTTAATATTATTGAGAATATTATTTTTATATTTTTATAAGTGTGAGTTTAAGAGAGGTGTCGGGACCAAAATTTGGTATCAAAATATTTTGTAGAAAAGAAATTAAAAATAAAATATTTTAGAGACGTGACATTGTGATTGGAACCATATTAATCATCAATTCAAAATGGACGATTGGATAGGGGAAGTATATAAGTTTTATGCAGTAGGGGAAGCGGAAAAGAGCTTGCTAACCACGCTATTCTAAAAGGACACGGTTAGCATGCGGCCAAGTCCACAAATATAGAAATGCAATCCCGTTAATAAATTTATTTTTGAAATAAAATTCAATCCTGATTTTAGAAAATATATAATATTCAACATGGAGATCATGAATATGAAAAAATAAATAATTTTTAAAATTAAAACAATAATTATTTTAAAAAAACCTTTGAACCGTTAGTTTCAAACTATTTGCCTCCGTTTAAGATGGATGCTTTATACCTTTGGACCACGTATTGTATAAATGAGGTCCAGCTCTCATTAAACAATTGTGCCTTCTAAGAAAGACAATAATTTGTGCCCTTCCAAATGAGGATTAACATGTAGTGTACACCCACCCATTACAAGTGATATTAAACACTAAAAAGAAGACTAGCAGGTCCTCGGCAAAGATGACACACACAAATCGAAAAATGGTCCAAAATTTGATGGGTTTAAAACAGAAAGGTGCAAGGAACATAAAAAAATATATATTTATGGGAAAAGTTTATAAAGAACCGAGGCTCTAAACAATCAAATTTGAGCCTACTTCAAAAATTTCACTAGAAGAGGTTGTTTTGATGTCCAAATATCTTCAAATCGATTATCTCCACATCAAATGCATGGATATGAGAAAAAAATGGATTTCAAGTTTTGAAAATAGTGTATTTTGTAATATATTTTTA